ATGAGAAATCAATCAACCCCAATAGCATATGAACGCATAGCCTTTGTGTGTCGTTACCAGGTATGCAGCCTCCCTCATGAACTGCTTAGCCGGTTGTCTCCACACGGCAGGGACAGTGATCACCCATCTGATCTCCTCTCCCTGCGGCACAGTAAAAGACTGTTCCTTCACCTCCTGCAACAGACCACAGTAAACAACCAGGTTGAAATGGATGATGTATTGCTTCATTGTACAACATAAAACATTCCAAACCTTTAGAGCATGTTCTCTGAAGAACCGCAGGGCGTGAGCAAACACCTCGATGGCCCTGACCTTCCGCCCATTGACTGCTTCCAGCTCCGTCTCCATGCTGAGGTCCTGCAGCATTATGTCAGAAAAAATACATTTTATTGTGGAGTGGATGGACTGAAAAAGTAAACATTGATGGACAGATCTATCTATCTATCTATCCATCCATCCATCCATCCATCCATCCATCCATCCATCCATCCATCCATCCATCTATCTGTGTAGTCAGGAGAATTACATAGTCCTGTGACGTGGTCTCCAGGTTCTTGAGTGTTGCTCTTACACTGGTGCTGTGGATCTTCATTTTGAATTTATCCAAGTACAGCCAGTGCTGAGCCTCCTCCGGGTCCAGGTCATGGTAGAAGTCTCGGGCCGCAAAGCCAAAACTGTGGAACCTCAAGTCCGGAGTCAGGAGCAGGCAGGTCGGACTCTTCTGATTGGCCACGCCTGGGTCTCCACCCTCCCAACGCCTGCACAGATAAAAGGAAGATACCTTAAAGCAAAGGAAAACTTCGACGGATTTAAATTAAACATAATTTTACCAAGAATCCTACTTCATCATGTGTATGGCCTCTGAGTCCTGGGTGAAGCTGAAGGCATAGCCACTGGAGGTTGTGCCGAAATCTATGGCCACAACCACAGAGAATGGACAGGCCATCCTGGGTCGGACCTCCACCCTCTTAGAGGAGCGAAGGACAAGGGGAAAAAGAAAAGAATGTTTGCAAATAACCCAAAGACAAGTTAAGTGAATAAGTGAATGAACGAATGTCGTTTCTGTGGGAACTGGAAACATGGCTTTAACCACAACCTATGCACAATAAGTAGATATTACACTAAGTCTTGAAGAATACATGACTCTAGCATCATCTAAAAGCCTCTATATGCTCCAAATAATTGTCTTCTTTTCCCTCTTCTTCTTCCAGTGCCAGTGTGAACACACTTCTCTCCAGGGCACCTGCTTCAAGGCTCCACTGGACTTGAAACTGTGAGTGTTATTATAAACCACTAATGACACGGCGAAGTGGAGTTTGGTTTACATGTCATATTTAAGTGCTCTATATTAAGAAAATAAGTAGGAAGAGGAAAAGGGTGTGTAGGCAAGTCTGCTGCAACAGTGTGTGTGTGTGTGTGTCGTTACTGGTGAGGGCGACGGCGTGAGCGGTGTGATGCTGCAGTCATTTCTTGCTGTAGCCGGTGATGAAGAGACGGAGAGGTCGTCACCTGGCAATAAATCAGAAAGATAAAAGATGAAAATGTCATTGTTTGTTTGTTTCACTTTGGTGTAATATGGAACTTGAACTGAACGTCTCCTCTTGTGACTTGACTTGAACACTTGACTTAGTCTTAAAATAAACTTTCAGCCTGTCTGGAACCTTGTGGAGCGATAACTTTCACATCTCTCAAACTCTTGTGGAGTCAATTTAACTCAAAACATAAACAGCCTTTTCCCCCCTTTATCTAAGAGCCAAACTGGAACCCAGTTGGAGACTGTACCAAGACAAAGCTGAATACTTTACCTCAGGGACTTGGAATCTGACCTTAACACTGGAGACCAAATGTAGGCTTGTCAAAACCCTGACTAAGGCTTAACTGAGACTCAACTGATTTTTTTTTTCATTTCCAGCATTCACTTAGACTCCTGGAAACCATTGTGTTCCAACCAATTGTGCCTTTTTTTCTTATTTCATGCCCAACTCTGACTCAACACAAATTTCTTTTTTTCTTATTTCATGCCCAACTCTAACTCAACACAAATATTTATTTTTGAACATTTAGAATTGAATTGAAACTCTAAGCTGATAAGTGATTTCAGCATTAAAATTCAAATAGAAAATAAATAAAAATTAAAACAAATAAAAGGGAAACACACTAACAGAAACTGTCTGTAGTAAAGATAAATTGCTATTGTTAGACAATGGTGAAATACTAACAAAAACATAACACAATTAAGATTAGCATGTCAGGGTGTAAACCATCCAAAATTAAACGTTTGTGATGAACTGGAATGACTGGAATGTTACTGGATTAAGATGTTAGTAAATGATGGAGGAGGAGAATGTAGCAAGGTCGGAGCGCACACACTCCCAATGATAAAATAGGATGAAGAGCAGTCATTAAGAGTGTGTGTACAGTCTTTCTTACCCGGGACCTTGAGGTCATTTGGTTCTGGCTGCACCACGTCAGCCATGTTTACAGGAGCCAGGGTCTGCAGAGAGATGCATCAACACCAGCATGACTCAAAGGCTTCTAATTCTAACTCCAACGGATGCACCTGACTGGAATATCTAAGTCCTGTGTTCTTATCTTAAAATATCCAATGAGCCAATCACAGGGCAGCAGTTCAGCTTGTAAACTACGTCTGAGTGTTGTTGCCGACCTTGCTCATCCGTTTATGACCACAACGCTCCCATCTTCTGATGTCAGTTTAGTGGAACATCGTTGGAATGGATCAAAACAAAAGTTTGCATGCTGGATGTTAAACCACTGAATCTGCAGCAGCTGGTAGAGGTCGTCCTTTCAATAGGAAACTAAGTCTGTTGTGTGGTTTTCAGCGTGTACGTGTCTGCCTGCACATCACTGTGTGTATTGAGTTGCAGAATTCATTGAACCAGTGTGTGATCTGAGCCAGAAGCAGTGTCCCAATGAGAGCTATGAAACAAAGACAGGTTTGTTTGAACCCCTTTCTTCTGCATGGGCCCAATTGTGTTCGCATGTCTGTGTGTGTTTGTGTCTTCAAAGTGTGCATTAGAGACCATAAATTGATTTGACGTCCTTCCCTTGCAACATCTGCGCGTGTTCATTCAAACATATGCCCAGACCCTTTGAATAAAAGTGCGTCCTTGTGCATGTGTGCATCATCGTGAACCCCTGTTTCCAGTGGCTGCCCCCGTCCCTTGATTACAGAACCAGAGCTATGTCTCTCTTGCACACACTCCGTCCTCGACTCCTACATTACTCCACTTTTACTCACTCATTACCTCACCTCTTTAAGCCCAGTGAGCTTTATATGGGTTACACCCCCTTTTTGCCCCTCCAGTCTCCATTGTCTACTTTCTTAAACACACGACACAGGGTCTTACAGAAACAAACTTCCCATGAATGTTGCATTAGAAACAGATTATGCAATTTTATGTCAATTGTGCAGAAAGTTTGAGAAACTTTTCGGCTCCAGTCAGACTTTTTCTAGATTTGTCTCAGAGATGTGCATTTAAATATAAAAGCTTAAGGCTGCAGACAAATCCAGAGATGAAATTGAAATCTGAACTCACCTCTTTGTAGGCAGTTACAACACTGTGCCCGTGTTACTGTTTGGTCTCCACAGTTGTGTTTACTAGCTCTGGAATTTGGAAATCCAAGATCTTAAATCGGCTTCCTAGAGAGTGGTTGAAAGAACAAGGAAGAGGAGGAAAAGTGTTCCAGGGATACAAGAAGATGCTGACTTCCCAGCTGCCCTGCAGGCAGATTTCCCCAAAGTGGCTCTTAAAATTCAGAGTAGACTGCAGTGATGGGAGTAAAACCAAGATGCTGCTTTGAAGAGGTCGAGATTATTTTTCCTTCTTCTTGTTGAGTTTTTCATATTCTTGCAGAAGTTTGGAGAAAGTTCTGTTGCTCCGTTTCCCTGCTTCCAGTGGCTGCGTCTCTCCGTTCTGCAAAGGAATGCCAGAGAAAAGTGGTGACACACACACACACGCACACACACAAACACACACACAGCAGTTGCAGGAGTGGGAGGGCAGTGACAGTGTATGGGGGAATGCTGGGGATTTACCTCACCGCTATATTGCTGTGTGTGTGAGGGTGGAGTAATCTTGAGCAGGCTGTGTATCCCAGCTCAGTCATGCTGCCCTGTCTTTTCCCCTTATCTGCCCTTCCTCTGGTTAATCAGCTCTTCCCTTGTCGCTCCTTTCGTTATATAATCCTCTAATTTGTTGTGATTATGTTTCCCTTCCTCTTGACGAACTGTGGTGAATCATTATTTGACTTTTTCTAAGGTCACATTTTAGTTGTATATTATATTTCATCCTTTGCCAAGCAGTAGGTGAATGGTAGGATGTGACTCAGGTTTGACCACTTGAAAGTCCAGTTGGTCACAGTGGCAGTGAATTGAGCGTACAGGTCATAACTGTTTTGTTTTTGTGGCCTTTTGCAACCCGCTCACTAGTTCTCAAACATTAAGCTTTCATTCTCATGACTTGAATATTAAAAAAATGGACGTGGCCGCCTTCAGCTACCAGTGAACGTCAGGAGTTTTTCAATAGAACATGACGGGGTAACTGATAATGACACTGATGTAAAGGTCAAATTACACCAAATAATTAAAAGTGTGGACAGTGCACATCAAAAACAACTACACTGTCTCACAAAGGTCTTTTCCTGTTCCTACTGTGAATTACTAAACAGGATCCTGGAATGCCTACTTGGACAGTTACCTTAAATGTAGTTTACAGTCCCTTTAACCAGTGATGCTCGAGGATTCCTAGGATTTCTTTGTAACTTGTTATGTTTACAAGTTGTGCAACAATTGTCACTGATATTGTCCAAAAAAATAACTCTATTTCTGTGGTAATGTTTGTGTTTGCCGCAAATCTTTTTTTAGGTTGAAGCTACAGACCAAGCATAAGAAAAAAGACGAAGGGCAGAGAACTAGCCTGGCACCAGTGCTGCATATGTTCAAACACACAGTTCCAGGATAACATTTGAATAAGAATAAAAATAAAACCTAATTACTTGCATTTTCTAAAATGTTATTCA